CTGGAGAGGTTCTACGGGACCTGCCCCGAGGCCTCCCCGCCCCTCGTGGCCCACCTTCCCCCGTGGCCCCCCTCCCCCGAAACCTCCCCTCCCGCAAGGCCTCCCCTCCCCCAAGTCCTCCCCTCCACCCAAGGCCTTCCCTGCCCCCCGAGGCCTCCCCTCCCCCCGAGGCCCCCTCCCCCCGAGGCCTCCCCTCCCCCAGAGGCCTCCCCTCCCCCTGAGGCCTCCCCTCCCCCTGAGGCCTCCCCTCCCCCAAGACCTCCCCTCCCCCCGAGGCCTTCCCTCCCCCCGAGGCCCCCTCCCCCCGAGGCCTCCCTCCCCCCGAGGCCTCCCCTCCCCCTGAGGCCTCCCCTCCCCCTGAGGCCTCCCCTCCCCCTGAGGCCTCCCCTCCCCCAAGACCTCCCCTCCCCCCGAGGCCTTCCCTGCCCCCCGAGGCCTCCCCTCCCCCCGAGGCCTCCCCCCCCCGAGACCCCCTTCCCCCCTTGGCCCCCCTCCCCCCGAGGCCTCCCCCCCCGAGGCCTCCCCTCCCCCCGAGGCTTCCCCCCCTCTCCTGTCAGCCCTCGGCGTGCCCTCCCTCTCAGCACCCCCTTCCCCGCCCTCCCCTCCAGCACCTCAGCTCCGTCCTCTCTCCCCCAGCGCTCAGGGCCCTGCTGTGCGTCTGCCCTCGTTCCCCGAGCCCCTCGGCCGGCGGGTCCCTCCCGTCACCTCTGACTTCCTAAGCGAACGTTTTATCACCGAGTTCCTGGCTCTGAAGTCTTCTTCGCCGAAACTCAAGAGCCGAGGTCTCACTTCGGGGGACGACGGCGGGAGCCTGTCCGCGGTCCCGGGCACCGGGCGGCCGGGCCGTCCTCCTGCACCCGCGCTGACCCTCGGGGCCGGGCAGCCACGCGGGCTCGGCGTGCGGGGCGGCGCGCAGGCCGCCGGAGCGCCGCCCGTGAGAGGTTGGCCGGGAGCTTCCTGGCCCAGACCGACGGCCGCTGGGAGCAGACTCCGGCCGAGAGCCACCGCCTCGCAACTTCTCTTCGCGTCTGACCTGACGAGGGCGCTGGGCGGCCGGGAAGTGGGCGACGCCGGTGTGTGTGTGTGTGTGTGGGGGGGGCGGTTACAGGGGAACCAGTCACAGCGCCCTCAGTGTCTCTTCCAGGTGATGGCGGCCGGCGGTGCCAGGCGTGGTCCCTGGATCAGTGGTCGGCAAACTGTGGCTCGCGAGCCACATGGGGCTCTTTGGCCCCTCGAGTGTGGCTCTTCCACAAAAAACCACGGCCTGGGCCAGTCTATTTTGAAGAACTGGTGTTAGAAGTTTAAAAAATGTGGCTCTCCAAAGAAATTCCAATTGTTGTGCCGCTGATAATCTGCTGATTAATGGATGAGGGTGCGGACCACGGGGCTGGATGCACACAGCCGTGGGCAGGGCTGGCTGTGGGCGAACAAGCCTCCATTGGAGCAGCGCCCGGCCCGCCCCGCCTGCCCTCCCAGCCCCGCCTGGAATGTGCGATCAGATCTCCCGGAGGCACTTTCCCTGGTACCCTGTCCTCCTCACACCCTCCTCAGAGGGACCGCGCTCGGCCGGACCCACAGTCCCGGCGGGACCGCGCACACAGGCGCTGCTCCCTGCAGGCGTGGGCCTGGCCTGGTGCCGGCTCCGGGCTCTCCATGGAGGTGGCTCCTCCGCCCGCCCACCTGCTTCTGAGCCACGTCCGCCCCGGTGCCGAGTGAGGAGGGGCTGGAGGGCAGGGTCCCGGGCTCCTAGTGAGACGGGCCAACCTCCAGGGGCTCCTCAGGCCGCAAGGGAGCGGAGATCGGTGTGTCCGTGCGGGCTCCCTGCCACCGGGAACACTCAGGGTGTGAGAGGCGAGGACCGTCCTTGTGATCAGGAAACACTAATCCCCCGCCTGCCTCCCCCGAGCAGGGGAGGCCCAGAACCCGGACCACGGGGATGAGATCCCGGCGACACCGCCCGCACGGCCCCCATCCCACGTGCCACCTCCCCGAGGAAAAGTGTTAAGGCCAAAGGTCACACGTGTGCTCAGGAATTCCGCTCCGTGGACCTCCCGGGCACATGCACCCAGGCTCAGAAATAGGGTCTCCCTCCTTCTCTCCCTCCCCTCCCCCACAGGTGCCCTCCTTCCTCCTGAGCCCCCAGGCCCTCCTCGGCTCTGTCCGTGTTTCCCGAGCCCATTCCCTCTGTCTCCGGGTGAAAAGGAACAACAGCCACAAACAGGTGAAGTGTGGCTGCTACCGGTTTGTTCTGAACCACAAAGAACTAGGAGGGGCTTCGTGTGCACCCAGAGGGGCTGCCAGATCGGTGACGGGACGCCATGGGCCTACCAGCCAGGCGGACCACAGAGACAGCCTGACCTGTCCTTAAGCACGCACGGCCGGCCCGGGCTTTGTCTGGCGGAACAGGGAACAGCAGAGAGTGCACAGAATAGGCCCACGGGTACAAACACCACGTGTGCAGGACGAGGTGTGGCCAGCGGCTCCCGCGTGGCTGAGTGGCGTGGCTGCGGAGGAGCAGCAGGTAAACAAAGCCTGACCGGTGCCTGTGGTAACCGAGAGCACATTGTGACCTCGCCCTGACCTCCTGGGATCTGCGGTGGAGTGGAGACTCGGCTTGCAGGCCGTGGGCTGTCTCTCTAATCAGAGGGCAGCGTCCCACCCGGCCCAGCTCTCTCCTCTTGTCCGTGACCGCCATCCGCCCCCGTCCGCTCAGCTCCAGCCATGGCCGTGCCGGCGCGGCACAGGATGCAGGACGGACATAACCCAGAGTGAGAGACGGGGATGGGGTGCACATCCCTGCTGGAGGCCCGGACTCCTGGGCCGGCCCCGCCCCTCGGCCCCACCCCCTCCCGGCCAGGCTCACTTCTCTTCCCATTTCAGCCCTGTTCCCTCTGCGCGGAGCACGTGCACGGAGCGGAGCGTCCCTCAGGCCCAGCTCAGGCGCCGTCCATGGGCGCCTCCTCCCCGGGGCCTCGGGCTGCTCGGCCGTCACATGACCCCGCCTGCCCCAGGTCCCTCGTGTCACAATAGCCCCCAGCCCACTGGCTGCATCCACTCCTGGGAGCAGGAGGTCAGGGACTCAGAGGCTGGCTCACAGCTCAGCGCAGCCCCTTCCCAGCCCCACGTCACCGGCGCCAGCTCTTCTCCGTGAGAATTCTCCGAGGAAGGGGCTCGGTGCAGAGAAGCGGGTCCGAGGGGCTGCCAGCGCCCCAGGAGCCCGCGGGATGGGGAGGCGCACTGCAGGCTGCCTGGGCGGACACCGTGGCCGGAGGCCGGGTGGGTGAGCCAGGGCAGAGCCGCCTCAGGCAGAGGGGAGAGGGGCTCCTGAGGACACAGTGAGACGAGGGTGCTGACCTAAGGGCCGGGAGGGGCTGTGAAGGCGACGGTGAGAGTGCCCGAGGCTGAGAGCTTAAAGCCAATGAGAAGGAAAGCAGGGTTATTTTAAATTACTGTTTTCTCTCGCTTTGGTAAAAATATATTTTCATTGACGCAGAGAGGAAGGGAGAGGGAGGCAGAGATAGGCGATCGAGCCTGGATCCCGGCGGGCCCTGCCGGGAATCGAACTGTGGCCTCCGGATTCCCGGCCCATGCTCACCCTCGGGCCAAGCGGCCGGGCTGGGCTGTTTCCTCTGAGTCCAGGTCGTGGCACACGTAAGACTGCGGTGGTTGGCGTTCAGTGTGTGCACGGCCTCCCTCTGGCCCCCGAACCCGGCCGGAGAGCGGACGGGGAGGACAGTGAAATGGACTGTCCCCCAGAGACCCAGGCCCCAAGCAGGGACGCCCCCGAGTCCGGAGCCCGTCCTGCTGGCCTCCCATGGAGAGTGCTGGGGACCGAGGTCCCTCTGCGGGGGGAGCACTGGGTTGCATCGGCCCCCAACAGCACACACGTCCTCCACACAGGGACCCTCCGCCGTGCCCGCTGAACGCCCCCGCCCTGTCCCTCAGGCAGACCCAAGCGGAGACCGGGGTGGGGTTTGCTGACTCAGGCCGATCCCCATCTGTGTCTTCCTCTCCTGAGAACTGGGCTTTGGGGCCATGGAGTTGGGGTGCTCTTTGCCTGGTCCGACAGCGCCCACAGTCCGCCTGGCCCGGGTGACAAGCCTGTGGCCCAGGAAACAGACCTCGTCTCCTGTCTCACCCTCGGGGAGCTCCCCGGCCGTAGACCCGCCCCGTCCCTCAGGCAGACCCGAGCGGACCTGTCTCCACAGGAGGCCCGCCGAGGCCCGGGACACACAGGGTCTCTGTGAAACCTGTCTTCCTTCTGAAGCCGTGGAAACAGTACCTGGGTGCCTTCTCCCCTGACTCCTGTCCCGACCAGGGTGTCCGAGCCTCCTTAGAGGCCCATTGGGTGCAGGCTGCGTGTGCACGTGTGTGCGTGCGTGCGTACGTGCGTGCACACTGATGTCCCAAGATGCCCACTTGTCTGTCCTCAGAAACCACCCCCTCGTTCCCAGAGGAAGTTCAGGAACGCGCTCGCTGAACCAGCCGGCTCCCGTCTGACCCCAGCCCAGCCAGCCTTCCCGGAGAAGCCGCTGCGGAGCCAGGAATTCAGCCGGGCCGGCCGGGCGGCCTCTGCCAGCGGCTGTCGCAGCCTCTCCCAGACTCCCGCCGGCTGGGAGGAGAGCACTGGCACTCTGCCAGTTCTGGGGCGCAGCAGCCACGTGCCGCCTCAGGGGCCACAGGTGAGGCCACGGCGAGGTGCACCAGAGGAGGGGCGGCTGGGTGGGCGGGGGGCAGCCAGGGCTCCCACAAGCCCGTGGGCGATTCCGAGGGGGAACTGTCGCCCCAGGGACCTGTGCACTTTGTCCCTGGGCTGGGCTCACGCCCCGGACGCACAGACATCGCTCTGGGTGTGGAGGGTGCACTGGTCCATCCGTGTGCGGTGCCTCTGGAGCAGGAAGCAGCCCTGGCCGCGGGGCCGGGGGCCTCTGGCCGCGGTGAGACGGTGCGGCCGACCCAGTGCCCGGCGCCCCCGCAGGGACACAGCCTGCCGCCCGCGGATGGTGGACGCCACCGCGGGCATCATGGACCGGAGCCTGCGGAACGTGCTGGTGGTGTCCCTGGGCTTCCTGCTGCTCTTCACGGCCTTCAATGGCCTCCAGAACCTGCAGGTGCGCGCCCCGCCCTCCAACCCCGCCCTCCGACCCTCGCCCTCCGACCCTCGCTCTCCACCAGGAGCCCAAGGCCAAGACCTGAGCCCGCTCTGCTCCCTGCGAGCGCACACTCTCCCCCCGACCCTGAGCACCCGCGGGGGTGGGGGGTCTCCCACAGCACAGCCGGACTGCACCCTCAGGGGGGACGCAGGGGGCGGGCAGATGGGCGGGTGCTGACCCTTGGACCCAGGGCAGGGAGGGGAGGGGACGGATAAGACAGCTTTGCCTCTGGGTGGCTGGAAGGTGCTGGGATTTGCCAGCTTCCACGGGGCCAGGGGGTCTGGGCTGCTCTCAGCAGCGCCGTGGCCGTGGACGGAGCAGGGTCCTCTCCCGGTCCCTCCGAGGGCGGGGCCTGTGCCAGGAGGAAGCTGCCACTGGGTCCAGGCAGCTACCGTCCCGTCTGATCTTTAATGTGAAGTGAACTCTGGGAGCTCCCCCCACCCCCAGGCAGGGCACCTCCTCACCCCCCAGGCTCACATGGCCTCCACGCCTTCTAGAAAAGTCTCTGACTCCACGGCCCACCTGAGGGCCCTCCCGGGCCATCACTGATGCTGCTGACCCTGTCAGCTTTGTCACCCTCCCACACCCACAGCCGGTCCCCTCGGCCCGGCTCCCCATGCCCCCGCCCCCCCCCCCTGCCCGTCCCAGCCGCCCTCTGTCCTTCCAGGCTGTCCAGAGCCCCTGTGCTTGGAGGTGGGTGTCGCCGGGCAGGAGGCCTCTCAGGCCCTCTCCCTCCTGGGGTGTCCCCCAGTCGCCCCGCCCCCTGCCGGCGAAGGCCCGGGCGCGGCCCCGGGGGGCGGGGGCGCAGAGAGGGGAGCCCCCGGCCCGGCCGAGCTGAAGGCCCTGCCCCCACAGAGCAGCCTGTACAGCCACGAGGGCCAGGGCGTCACGGTGCTGAGCACGCTGTACGGCGCCATGATGCTGTCCTCCATGCTGCTGCCGCCACTGCTCATCCGCGCGCTGGGCTGCAAGTGGACCATCGTGCTGGCCATGGGCTGCTACGTGGCCTTCTCGCTGGGCAACTTCTACGCCAGCTGGTACCTGGGGCCCTATTCCTGTCCTCCTGTCCCCCTGCCCCTTCACCCCCCCTGTCCCAACTCCCCTCCCTGTGGCCTTCTCCCTGGGCAACTTCTACGCCAGTTGGTACCTGATCGCCCCTGCTCCCTGAAGGAAAGCGGCCCCCAGGGCTCCATGCTCCCCCTACCCCCCTTGCTCCCTCACCCCACCGTCCCCAGGTGCACCCCCCGGCCCTCCTGTGAGGGGCCGCTCCATCCGGGCCACCTGCCCCGTCAGGAGGCTCAGGGCCGCCTCCGTCTGTCACCACGGTTTCCACGCAGCACCCGCCCTGGAGGGACGCCGAGCAGCCGGTGCGCGGCCCCCGCTGCCGCCCGGGCACCTCCTGTCCTTCTGTTTGTTTATGTTTTTCTGACGTCAGAGAGGAAGGGAGAGGGAGAGGGAGAGAGACATCGATGGTGGGAGAACCGTGGACCGGCCGCCTCCCGCACGCCCCCACCGGGGATGGAGCCTGAAACCGGGCCTGTGCTCTGACCAGGAATGGAACCGTGGCCTCCTGGGTCCTAGGTCGACGCTCACCCTGAGCCACGGGCTGGACGCGGCCCTCTCGTTTGTAGTCCCGGCTCCGGGGTCGCCTTCCTCCTCGAGGGAGACCCCGCCTCTGCCTCTGCCTCTGCCTCTGCCTCTGCCTCTGCCTCTGCCTCTGCCTCTGCTCTGCCGCTCCCCCCGCTCACGCCCAGAGCCAGGACTCCAGGCCGGGTCGGGGGTTAGGAGATGGGCCCACAGCACAGCCCTGCCCGGGCCAGCCGGTCCCCTCGGAGGGCGGCGTGGCCGGCTCCTCACGTCTGTGCCCCTTCAGGTACACGCTGATCCCCACCTCCATCCTGCTGGGCCTGGGCGCGGCCCCGCTGTGGTCGGCGGGGAGCACCTACCTCACCGTGGCCGGGAACGCACACGCGGAGAGCACGGGCCAGGCGGGCCGCAACGTGGTAAACCAGTACTTTGGCATATTCTACCTCATGTTCCAGTTCTCCGGCGTGTGGGGCAACCTCATCTCCTCCCTCGTGTTTGGCCAAGAGGCCACGAAAGGTGAGGGGCGGGCGCGGTGACCCCGGGGCCCGGCCCGAGCAGTGACCCGGGAGGCTCGCGGGTGGCTCTCAGCCTGCCCCGCCTGGGCACCACCCGCTCCCCGGGCGAGCGAGGTGCCTGAGGGTCCCCCGGGGTCCGGACCTCGCCCTGGCCGGGAGGGGAGCTGAGGCCCCGCCTGTGGGCCTGGGTCTGCACGGACCACACGGTCCCCACGGAGGGTCCGAGGGCGGGTCCCGGGGACTCATTTTCCCACGAGCTGGCCCGTGACCGGCGCTCAGATGGCCCCGGGAACCCCTCAGCCTCCTCGGGGCTGGGCGTGTGCTGACTTTTCCTTCTTTTTCTGTTGTTTTTTTTTGTTGTTGTTTGTTTGTTTCATTTTTTTAATATGTTTGTATTGGCTTCAGAGAGGAAGGGAGAGGGAGGGAGAGAGAGAGAAACACCAATGACGAGAGAGAACCATGGATCGGCTGCCTCCTGCACGCCCACACTGGGGATGGAGCCCACAACCCGGGCCTGTGCCCTGACCGGGGATTGAACCTTGACCTCCTGGGCCACGCCAGCTGGGCTGACTGGCGTAAGGCACCTGCCAGACATGGGTGTGGAGTGTGCACCTGTCTGTGCCTGCCTGGGTGTCCGAGGATGTCAACCGAGGCCGGGGACATCCATCTGATTCCCACAGGAGACCTTTATCAGTGGGGGAGCCCTGACCCCTGACCCCTGGGGCCCCTTCCTGCCCCTCCCCTAGCCCTCCCGTCTGCCCCCCGTCCCTGTAGGAAGTCCGGCCCTTGGGAAACTACACAAAACCCTCCTTCCCTTCCCGCACATTCCACTGGTTAACGGATAAGGAACCTAACTCTCAGGAAAGACAGGACGTGGCCTGCCCCGGCCAGAGGACTGTGCAGACGGACCCGAACGAGAGCCCAGCCACCCTGACACCCGTTCGCACACGGCCTCTTCCCTCTAATTCACGTGAAAAAGCTGAAATTGTTCATTCGTGTCATAAGTCACTTAACAAGAAACCAGCACGGACTGCACATGCGTCCGCATTGGCTTTCCTCGGGCACAGACGTGGGCTCCGGGGACATGTGCTCGGAGACCCTGGCCGCACTGGCCGAGCCGCGACCCTGAGCTGTCGTACACTGGTGTGGTGTGGGCTGGGTCCGCCCTGTCCCCGGGAACGGCAGCCCGTATCCCGTCAGCGTCCCGCTCTCACCCGCCGCCCCTCCCCAGGTGCCATCCCCGAGGAGCAACTGCAGTCCTGCGGGGCCAAGGACTGCCTGATGGCCGCGGCGCCCGGCAACAGCACCCAGCGCCCGTCCCCGGGGCTCATCTACACGCTGCTGGGCATCTACACCGGTGCGTGCGGCACGGGGGTGGCTCGGGCGTCCGCGCGGCTCTCCTGAGTCTCTCCCCTAGGAAGGCCACGTTGCCATAAAGACAGAAACCAGGACAGGAGGACAGGGCTGACGGGCAGAGAACATGTCTCCCCAGCGATGTCCCAGGGCCGCTGGCTTCATCCTCATGGCGAGGCTCTCCAGAGCGCCGTCCAGTCCGTGTGCCAGGCCCACCGTCCCGGGTCACGCCCCTAGAGAAGCTTCTGGGTCACCGGGCAGCTCTGGACACACAGGCACCTCCTCGGAAACACACGACCCGCCTCTCACAGGCTCCTGAGGAGGGCTTATGTGGGGGTAGTGTCCTAGCCGGAGGCTCAAAGCCCACAAGGGGAGACCGTGAAGCAGGCAACCTGGCCGCCTCGTGGGCGATGGACACGCCTTTCCCACGGACGCCACGGCCAGGCAGGGGTTGGTGTGGGAGAGTTCACAGTTCACATGCCAGAGGGCCCTGCACCAGGCGTGGTGACCACATGTGCAGGAACCCAGGTGACACGGATACCTGAGTCTGTCCGTTGTGGCTTGAGGCCCCCCTGCACCTGGGGTTAGAGGTTGACTGTCGCCTCCAGGAGGGAGGATGGGACAGTGGATCTGTGTCCTGTGTCCCCCCAGTCCCGTGGCTCCTGGACCCGTGGCTCCTAGTCCTGTGGCTCCTGGACCCGTAGATCCTGTGTCCCGTGGCTCCTGGACCCGTGGCTCCCATGTCCCATGGTTCCTGGGTCACATGGATCCTGAACCCGTGGCTCCTGGTCCCGTGGCTCCTGGACCCGAGTTCTCGTGTGCCGTGGTCCCTGGTCCCTGACCAGCAGCAGCGGCTGTGCTTCCCTTCCAGGGAGCGGTGTCCTGGCTATCCTGCTGGTGGCGCTCTTTCTCGACCCCATCAGAGACACTCTGCACAACGGTGACGGAGAGAAGCCATCTGTTCGGTCCACTGTGCTGTCCACGTTCCAGCTTCTCAGAGACAGACGCCTGCGGCTCCTCCTGCTGCTGCCCATGTACAGCGGGTTCGAGCAGGCCTTCATGGCGGGGGACTACACCCGGGTACGGCCCGGCAGGCGGGGCACGAGGGTGGGGCCTGGAGGCCTGGCGGGTGACTACCAGAGGGAGTGGGCAGACATGTATGTAACCTGCTAAGTGACCCGCCCTGGAGGTAGCACTGTTTTCAGGGCAGTTTGGGGCAGGCACAGAGTTTCCCGCATGCCCTCCCCCACCACAGCCCACCAGAGGGTCCCCTTGCTGCCCCTGTGACTCTGCACTCACATGTCATGGCCGCCCACGTCCTGAGCTGACACACGGTCCCTCTTGGTGCTGGGCGGCCAGTGCGTGTGGACGAATGTGCCAGGACATGTCCCCATGATTGTGTTACACTGACCATTCGCTGCCCCAACCCCCCTGTGCTCGGTCCCCCCTCCCCCACCTCTGTCCCCCCATCTCCCCTGGACAGCTCCCACACACCGGGCACACGCTGAGCAAGGCAACGGCGTACGGACATGTGTCCACAGGTTAGGTGGCCCAGACAGGGCCAGCCTGGACAGACCAGACAGAGGCCCCAGCCAGGCCAGAGGGACAGGCCCCAGCCAGGCCGGAGGGACAGGCCCAAGGGCAGGCGGAGGGTCATGCCTCAGGCAGGCAGAGGGACAGTCCCCGGGCAGGCATAGGGACAGGCCCCGGGCAGGTGGAGGGACAGGCCAGGCAGGCGGAGGGACAGTCCAGGCAGGCGGAGGGTCAGGCCGGGCAGGCGGAGGGACAGGCCCCGGGCAGGTGGAGGGACAGTCCAGGCAGGCGGAGGGTCAGGCCGGGCAGGCGGAGGGACAGGCGGCAGCAGGTCGGCCGCAGAGGCGTGACATCCGTGTCCCGCAGTCCTATGTCACCTGCGCCCTCGGCATCCACTTCGTGGGCTACGTGATGATCTGCTTCTCGGCCTCCAGCGGGCTGTGCTCCATGCTCTACGGGCGGGTGGCCCAGTACACAGGCCGGCCCGCACTCTACGCACTCGGTAGGTGGCGTCCCTGGAACCTGACTGGGCTGCACAGGGGTGTGCGCCGGGCCCGGGGACGGTGTGCTGGGGGAGCGGCCGTGACGGGTGCCATGACCATTCTCCGGCCGTGGGTGAGGCGGGCCCAGGCGTGTTTCTGAGGGCCGTGACCTGTGATCACCTGGGCCGTGGAGACTGTGTTTAAAGCTGCCTGGCTGCATGCCAAGCACACGCCACCTTCTCCTGTGGGAAGGGAGGAGGGACCGAGCTCGGGGAAGGCGAAATCGGGCCTTCACACAGTTCCGGGGCAGCCGCGGGGCCTGGGGGTCCCTGTCAGCATGGGGGCAGGGCCGAGTAACCCGGTGTCCCTCTCTTTTCCCTCCCCGATCGCCCTGGGGGGCCGAGGAGCAAACAGGAGCAGAGAGGGCAGTGACGCCCCAGGCTCACAGCCTCAGGCCCAGCGTGGTCAGCAGCTGCCAGTCTGTGAGCTGCTTGGTGGCTGCACTCTGAGGCCACGGCGTCTGCAGAAACCCGCCCACAGGGGCCACGTGGGGAGGACTGCCCCAGGCGGTTTGCTGGCCTCAGGCCGTCCCCCTCCCCTGCCGGACAAGAGGCCAGGCCAGATGGGCAGAGCTGCCATCAGACCCTGTCTACATCAAACCCACCTGCAGGAGGCGGCCTGGAGCATTTTTTTTTTTTTTAATATATTGATGTCAGAGAGGAAGGTAGAGGGAGGGAGAAACATCAATGAGGAGAGAGAATCACGGCCCCGCTGCCTCCTGCAGGCCCCGCACTGGGGCATCGAGCCTGCAACCCCGGCCTGTGCCCTGACGGGGAATCGAACCGTGACCTGGGTCATAGGTCGATGCTCGGCCCTGAGGCTCCGTGGTGGGCCAGTCTGGAGCCTGAAGGACTCACGAGTCACAGCAGGAAGCGATGGCCGGAGAACCCTCCCTGTGAGCTCGGACCCTCGCCTGTGGGCGTGGCCTCACCCGGTGCCCCTCCCGCAGGCGCGGCCACCCACCTGTCCTGCATCGTGGCCCTGCTGCTGTGGGTGCCGCGCCCCCACCAGGTGCCCGTGTTGTTCGTGTTCTCCGGCCTCTGGGGCGTGGCCGACGCCGTGTGGCAGACACAGAACAACGGTGAGTGCAGCCGGAGATGCCGCTCAGGCCGGCCGGGGTAGGCCCGGCGCCGTGACTGCGTGTACGTGGTTGGGTGCCTGTGGGTGGCTGCTGACCCGGCTTCCTCAGGGAGATGAGCCGCGGAGGAGGGGGTGCGGGAGCCACGGGAGGGAAGGAGGCAGCGTGGGGGGGGGGGGACAGTGCACAGAAGGCGGGGACTGAGAATGAGGGCGAGGTGGGCTGTAGCCCTGAGCTCCCACAGGCCGGGCTTGGCCCCGAGTGGGGGTTCAGGGCCCCCCTATCGGAGGCCCAGCCCCTGCCCCGGCGTCTGCGGCCCGGCCCGTCGCCAGGTCCTCAGGGCTGGCTTCCTGCCTCATCGCCCTCACGTTCAGCCCCGATGGGGAACACCTGGGACAGCGACAGGGTGGGATAGGGGTGGCCCCCCACAAGCCCCAAAACCCCATTCCCAGCGCGGGCCTGCACAGGGGGCCCTCCCGGCAGCTGAGTAAACATCGGCACCCAGACCTGACAGCGGCTTCCGGTGTGGCGCTCACACGTTTGTGCTGCTTGGAGCCGTGTGTCCTCGGCCTTGGAGCCGGGCCACGCGTGGATGACTCAGGCTGACCCGGGAGGGTCTGGGCCCCGGCCCACAGGTGGGGGAAGGGCTGAGCCTCGCCGGCCAGGCGTTCAGCATTGCTCGGCGGCAGAGGGAGCTCACCGGCTGCAAACCAGGCCGGCCCCGCCCACGCCACCTGGCCTCCTGAGATGCTAGTGACGTCTGAGTCCACCTGATTTCACTTTATTTTAAATGGCTTTTACGTTGATGTCAGAGAGGAAGGGAGAGGGAGAGAAACATCCATGAGGAGAGAGAACCGGTGATCAGCTGCCTCCTGCACGCCCCCCGCTGGGGGTCAAGCCTGAAAGCTGAGCCTGGGCCCCGACCAGGAATCGAACTGGGACCTCCTGGTTCACAGGCCAACACCAACCCCTGAGCCCGTGGCCAGGCCGGCGCTCTGCTGGGTGACACAGGGGTCCCGGCGGGCGGAGCGCGGGCACCGAGACCCCCCCCACCCCCGCAGTGCTCTTCGGCGTCCTGTTTGATGCGCACAAGGAGGCCGCCTTCGCCACCTACCGGATGTGGGAGGCGCTGGGCTGGGTGGTCACCTTCGGCTACAGCAAGTTCCTGTGCGTCCACATGAAGCTCTACATCCTGCTGGCTGTGCTGAGCGCCGCCATGCTTGGCTATACCGCCGTGGAGGTCCTGGAGGCCCGGGCCCGGCCCGGCCCCACGGCCACGGCCACGGCCACGGCCACGGCCACGGCGACCACGGCAGAGGACGGAGAGACGCAGACTACGATGTGACGGCGCAGGGCTCCACGTGAGGGCGACCCAGGCCTCGCGAAGGAGCCTCGAGGCTGCTGTCCACGCCTCACCCCCATCTCAGCAGGAGGGCACGTGGCAGGCACAGATGGTTACTTTTGTGCCGAGTCTTCCTGCTCTGCCACGTGTTCCCCCTGCACCCCTCGCCGATGAGGGCGAAGGACACCGAGAAGATTCTGCTCCGTCAGACACAGGTCAGGGCTCACCCGCTCCGCACCCGGGACTCCGCGGCCCGGACGTGCTGGCGGCGTCTTTGAGGCCCGGAAGCCCCTGGGAACCAGGCAGCCGCCCGCCCGTGAGGCCGGCCAGACCGCGGTCCACGCTGCCCAACACGGACGGAGCATGTTGCTAAATAAACAGCTGTCCTGTGAGCGCCCTCCTGTCCAGGACTTTTATTCCAAATGTTCGCGTGGGGATTGGAGGGCCGGGGAGGGGGGAGGGGTATGAGGGAGACGGGGGAGACTCGAGTTGGGGCGGGAACACAGTACTACGTGCAGATGATGGGTTCAAGTAGTTTAAAAATATTTGATTTCAGAGAGGAAGGGAAAGAGAAACATCAATGATGAGAGAGAATCACGGATCGGCTGCCTCCTGCACACCCCACACTGGGGATCGAGCCCACAACCCGGACCTGTGCCCTGACGGGAATGGAGCTGCGACCTCCTGGTTCTAGGTCGATGCTCAGCCCCTGAAGAAATCTGACTGCACAAACCACGAACTCGGGCACGTCAGTCGGGTACCACCGCCCGGCACCCACCTGGCCACGCAGAGCACCGTCCCGTCCGGGAACACGGTCTCCTCCTGGTCGTCACGGAAACGCGTCACTGTCCCGTCCGGGAACAGGGTCTCCTTCAGGCCGTTGGGGTAGAATTTCTCTGCAGGACACATGCTTTGTTACTGAGGCACAACCGTCACCGAACATCCAGCTCGCTACCTGCACGCCACAGTTATGGTGACAAAAATGTCTCTTCTGTGATGAGGACTCCTAAGATCTAATCTCTCGGCAGCATTCTTAACTGCAGAGGCCCGGGGCAGGAAATGCGTGCCCGGGTAGGGTCCGAAGTCCTGGCCGGCGATCCAGGCCAATAGTGGCCTTCCTTTGTCTGCGCTGCCCCCTGGCGGTCAGACTCCCATGGGGACAATGGGCATGTCAGGCTCTGATCTATCTATACTGCAGAAGGCCTGTGGCTGTAAAGCCATCACAACCAAACAGCCGGCCGCCGGAGGCGCCTTGACGGGCATCGCTGCGCAGCGAGTGTGGGTCCCGCTCCCGTGGCGGCGTGGCATGGCGGTCTGAGGTCTCTCAGCATTTTGCACTCTGGGCTGCTGGTATAATAATAAAAGCGTTATATGCAAATCGACTGAACGGCCGAACAGCGGAATGACCGTCCGGACCCTCTTCCGGCCGCAGCCTCGGCGGTGAGGGCGGAGGCAGCGGGGCTGGAAGGCTGCCCTCGCACAAATCTCGTGCATCGGCCTGTCGTGTAGACAGTCACCCTCCCCACAGGACTTCCCGGGACTCGCTTTTAACTGGAAGCTTTCTCTTGTTTCTGGCTCCTTTACCCTTTTTTAAAAAATGCACGTTCCAGCCTCCGCTTGTCCCTGGGGCTACGCCCAAGACCCCGAGGAGCCTGGGCCTGCACACAGCACCCCCGGCATGCTCTGTCCGCACACACACACTTTCTGCTGTTGTCATTCCCCGAGGATAGTTTTCCATTGATTTTTAGGGAGAGCAGACGGGAGGGGGGAAGAGCGAGAGAGACTCGGCGATCGGCTGCTCCCACACGCCCCTGACCAGGGCCGGGGATCGAGCCCGCAACCGAGGTACCTGCTGTTGATCGGAATCAAACCCAGAACCCTTCAGTCCACAGGTCGATGCTCTATCCACTGAGCCAAACCAGCTAGGGCTACACACACTCACCTTTTCACAGGAAGGAAGCAGGCCTCCCCTCCCACCCCCCCGGGGCCTCTCCTCCCCCCCCACCCCTCACCTCCCCTTCCCCCTGAGGCCTCCCCGCCACCGAGGCCTCCCCTCCCCCGCCTGTCAGCCCTCCGTGTGCCCTCCCCTCCAGCACCTCAGCTCTGTCCTCTCTCCCCCAGCGCCCAGGGCCCTGCTGTGCGTCTGCCCTCGTTCCCCGAGCCCCTCGGCCGGCGGGTCCCTCCCGTCACCTCTGACTTCCTAAGCGAACGTTTTATCACCGAGTTCCTGGCTCTGAAGTCTTCTTCGCCGAAACTCAAGAGCCGAGGTCTCACTTCGGGGGACGACGGCGGGAGCCTGTCCGAGGTCCCGGGCACCGGGCGGCCGGGCCGTCCTCCTGCACCCGCGCTGACCCTCGGGGCCGGGCAGCCACGCGGGCTCGGCGTGCGGGGCGTCGCGCAGGCTGCCGGAGCGCCGCCCGTGAGAGGTTGGCCGGGAGCTTCCTGGCCCAGACCGACGGCCGCTGGGAGCAGACTCCGGCCGAGAGCCACCGCCTCGCAACTTCTCTTCGAGTCTGACCTGACGAGGGCGCTGGGCGGCCGGGAAGTGGGCGACGCCGGTGTGTGTGTGGGGGGGGGGGGCGGTTACAGGGGAACCAGTCACAGCGCCCTCAGTGTCTCTTCCAGGTGATGGCGGCCGGCGGTGCCAGGCGTGGTCCCTGGATCAGTGGTCGGCAAACTGTGGCTCGCGAGCCACATGGGGCTCTTTGGCCCCTCGAGTGTGGCTCTTCCACAAAAAACCACGGCCTGGGCCAGTCTATTTTGAAGAACTGGTGTTAGAAGTTTAAAAAATGTGGCTCTCCAAAGAAATTCCAATTGTTGTGCCGCTGATAATCTGCTGATTAATGGATGAGTGTGCGGACCACGGGGCTGGATGCACACAGCCGTGGGCAGGGCTGGCTGCGGGCGAACAAGCCTCCATTGGAGCAGCGCCCGGCCCGCCCAACCTGCCCTCCCAGCCCCGCCTGGAATGTGCGATCAGATCTCCCGGAGGCACTTTCCCTGGCACCCTGTCCTCCTCCCACCCTCCTCAGAGGGACCGCGCTCGGCCGGACCCACAGACCCGGCGGGACCGCGCTCACAGGCGCTGCTCCCTGCAGGCGTGGGCCTGGCCTGGTGCCGGCTCCGGGGTCTCCGTGAAGGTGGCTCCTCCGCCCGCCCACCTGCTTCTGAGCCACGTCCGCCCCGGTGCCGAGTGAGGAGGGGCTGGAGAGCAGGGTCCCGGGCTCCTAGTGAGACGGGCCAACCTCCAGGGGCTCCTCAGACTGCGAGGGAGCGGAGATCGGTGTGTCCGTGCGTGCTCCCTGCCACCGGGAACACTCAGAGTGTGAGGAGCGAGGGCGGGAGAGTGCAGACAGGCCTCCCGCCGTGGGTGGCCCGGCCTCCCCACTGGCGATGGGATGTGGGGCCCACACCAGCAGGTGGTTCCCAGGCCCGCTCCAGCCTGACGACAGAGCCCTGCCCCGTCCCTCACTGAGCCAGGCCAGCACGGCCACGGGCGAGCCCCCGTGGGGGCGGTGAGGATTGTGAAAAGACAGACGAGAGAACAAAACCTGGGCCTGGGTGGGACGCTGCTCCCGGACAGAGAGACAGCGCCACGGCCCACAAGCCGTGTCTTTACAGCAGATTCCACGAGGCAAAGCAAGGGCGTGGTCAGGACGCTCACAGCATTCTCCTGGGTCTCCGTCCTCCTCGGTTACTTGCACCTGAGCAGGCTTTGTTTCCTTGCAGCTGATATCACTCAGGCACCTGGGGCCACGTGTTCAGACCACAGGTTCACGCTCACGACCACGGCTGTTGGCTATCCCGGTGCCAGGAGGGCCTGCACGAGGCCGAGAGAGAGAGGACTGCCCTCTCTTAGTCCGAGGCTTTGACTTGTCCGAGCTCCGTGGCCGCTCTCCACACGCAGGACTAAGTCCCCGTGCAAACCCCAGACTCAGTGATGAGAGAGTCAGTGATGGGCTGCCTCCCTCACACCCCTCACTGGGGTGGAGCCCGCAGCCCGGGGACTTGCCCGCCCAGGATCGCACCGGGACCTCCTGGTTCATGGGCCGAGCTCAGCCACGGAGCCACGCTGGGGGCGGGGGGCCTGGCGCTCTTAGCCTGGAGGCGCTTTAGGTGGAGACTGGGCGTGCCTCCCCGGGCTCTGAGGGCGGGGCCCTCATTCTGGGGCTCCTCGCCTCCCCTGCTGCTCACCTCCTGGCCCGGGCAGAGGCCGGTGCCAGTCTCATGCCCCTCGGGCAGCAGCCCTCTGTCACTCGTGTCTGGTGATGGATGCGAAGGTCCAGGCCGGGCTGGGAGAGAGTTCCTTCCTCCGCCATCTCCCTGTTCATCGTGTGCTGCCTTCCACCGAGGCCGGGCACGGGCGGCCAGCCGCCGGACGGCAGGCCTTTGCGGGACACGGCGGCCGGCAGGGGATTGACCGTGCCTGCCGGGCTGAGCCAGACACCGCCGTGCTCCGGAGACAGGCCCGGGACACCGCCGCGGGCAGCAGACATCAGAGCCCTGAAGGCCGCCAGCTGCCGCCGCCTTGTCCAGTCCTGTTTGCCGGTACATCGGGAGCTCAGTGCCCCGGCGCCTCCTGGCTCGGCCAAGGAGTAACCCTCAGTAATGCCGCCCTCGGAACCCTCAGCGGAGAGCTGGGCCCCAGGTGGCGCTGGGCCCGAGATGGCGCTGGCCCGCGGTGGCACGGCTGAGGTGGAGGCCAGGGCGCGGTCTCCAGGGCCGACAGACCGAGGGCTGAGCAGAGCGAGGAAGAGGCTTCTGATGCAGAGGGAGGATTGATGGGTCTTGGGAGCTGCCCACCCCGAGGCCATTCGCTCCTCAGAGGAACCCCACACCCAGGCTGACTACAGGCCCCCTGCGTGTGCAGACCCCCTGCGTGTGCAGGCTCCTGCGTGTGCAGGCTCCTGCGTGTGCAGGCCCGCTGCCATGTGCAGGCCTGAGGCGTGTGCAGGCCCTGCGTGGGAGGCTGCCCTTTCCCAGGTAAGGCCCAGCTCAGGCCCCACTCGTGGGAAAAGAATACCAGCGACATGTGAACAAGGGGAATAACGCTCCCCACCCCACCACCCGCCCCCACCCTTGTGATCAGTAAAGACAAATCCCCTGCCTCCCCCAGCAGGGGAGGCCCAGAACCGGGACCACGGGGATGAGATCCCGGCGACACCACCCGCACGGACCCTGCCCCACGTGCCACCTCCCCGAGAAAAAGTGTTAAGGCCAAAGGTCACACGTGTGCTCAGGAATTCCGCTCCGTGGACCTCCCGGGCACATGCACCCAGGCTCAGAAATAGGGTCTCCCGCCTTCTCTCCCTCCCCTCCCCCACAGGTGCCCTCCTCCCTCCTGAGCCCCCAAGCCCTCCTCGGCCTCTGTCCGTGTTTCCCGAGCCCATTCCCTCTGTCTCCGGGTGAAAAGGAACAGCAGCCACAAACAGGTGACGTGTGGCTGCTACCGGTTTGTTCTGAACCACAAAGAACTAGGAGGGGCTTCGTGTGCACCCAGAGGGGCTGCCAGATCGGTGACGGGACGCCATGGGCCTACCAGCCACGCGGACCACAGAGACAGCCTGACCTGTCCTTAAGCACGCACGGCCGGCCCGGGCTTTGTCTGGCGGAACAGGGAACAGCAGAGAGTGCACAGAATAGGCCCACGGGTACAAACACCACGTGTGCAGGACGAGGTGTGGCCAGCGGCTCCCACGTGGCTGAGTGGCGTGGCTGCGGAGGAGCAGCAGGTAAACAAAGCCTGACCGGTGCCTGTGGTAACCAGAGCACATTGTGACCTCGCCCTGACCTCCTGGGATCTGCGGTGGAATGGAGACTCGGCTTGCAGGCCGTGGGCTGTCTCTCTAATCAGAGGGCAGCGTCCCACCCGGCCCAGCTCTCTCCTCTTGTCCGTGACCGCCATCCGCCCCCGTCCGCTCAGCTCCAGCCATGGCCGTGCCGGCGCGGCACAGGATGCAGGACGGACATAACCCAGAGTGAGAGACGGGGATGGGGGTGCACATCCCTGCTGGAGGCCCGGACTCCTGGGCCGGCCCCGCCCCTCGGCCCCGCCCCCTCCCGGCCAGGCTCACTTCTCTTCCCATTTCAGCCCTGTTCCCTCTGCGCGGAGCACGTGCACGGAGCTGAGCGTCCCTCAGGCCCGGCTCAGGCGCCGTCCATGGGCGCCTCCTCCCCGGGGCCTCGGGCTGCTCGGCCGTCACATGACCCCGCCTGCCCCAGGTCCCTCGTGTCACAATAGCCCCCAGCCCACTGGCTGCATCCACTCCTGGGAGCAGGAGGTCAGGGACTCAGAGGCTGGCTCACAGCTCAGCGCAGCCCCTTCCCAGCCCCACGTCACCGGCGCCAGCTCTTCTCCGTGAGAATTCTCCGAGGAAGGGGCTCGGTGCAGAGAAGCGGGTCCGAGGGGCTGCCAGCGCCCCAGGAGCCCGCGGGATGGGGAGGCGCACTGCAGGCTGCCTGGGCGGACACCGTGGCCGGAGGCCGGGTGGGTGAGCCAGGGCAGAGCCGCCTCAGGCAGAGGGGAGAGGGGCTCCTGAGGACACAGTGAGACGAGGGTGCTGACCTGAGGGCCGGGAGGGGCTGTGAAGGCGACGGTGAGAGTGCCCGAGGCTGAGAGCTTAAAGCCAATGAGAAGGAAAGCAGGGTTATTTTAAATTACTGTTTTCTCTCGCTTTGGTAAAGATATATTTTCATTGACGCAGAGAGGAAGGGAGAGGGAGGCAGAGATAGGCGATCGAGCCTGGATCCCGGCGGGCCCTGCCGGGAATTGAACTATGGCCTCCGGGTTCCTGGCCCATGCTCACCCTCGGGCCAAGCGGCCGGGCTGGGATGTTTCCTCTGAGTCCAGGTCGTGGCGCACGTAAGACTGCGGTGGTTGGCCTTCAGTGTGTGCACGGCCTCCCTCTGGCCCCCAAACCCGGCCGGAGAGCGGACGGGGAGGACAGTGAAATGGACTGTCCCCCAGAGACCCAGGCCCCAAGCAGGGAGGCCCCCGAGTCCAGAGCCCGTCCTGCTGGCCTCCCATAGAGAGTGCTGGGGACCGAGGTCCCTCTGCGGGGGGAGCACTGGGTTGCGTCGGCCCCCAACAGCACACACGTCCTCCACACAGGGACCCTTCGCCGTGCCCGCTGAACGCCCCCGCCCACCCAGGGGATGGGGAGACTGGGGGGCGGGGGGCCCTGACTCAGGCCGATCCCCATCTGTGTCTTCCTCTCCTGAGAACTGGGCTTTGGGGCCGTGGGAGTCGGGGTGCTCTTTGCCTGGTCCGACAGCGCCCACAGTCCGCCTGGCCCGGGTGACAAGCCTGTGGCCCAGGAAACAGACCTCGTCTCCTGTCTCACCCTCGGGGAGCTCCCCGGCCGTAGACCCGCCCTGTCCCTCAGGCAGACCCGAGCGGACCTGTCTCCACAGGAGGCCCGCCGAGGCCCGGGACACACAGGGTCTCTGTGAAACCTGTCTTCCCTCTGAAGCCGTGGAAACAGTACCTGGGTGCCTTCTCCCCTGACTCCTGTCCCGACCAGGGTGTCCGAGCCTCCTTAGAGGCCCATTGGGTGCAGGCTGCGTGTGCACGTGTGTGCGTGCGTGCGTACGTGCGTGCACACTGATGTCCCAAGATGCCCACTTGTCTGTCCTCAGAAACCACCCCCTCGTTCCCAGAGGAAGTTCAGGAACGCGCTCGCTGAACCAGCCGGCTCCCGTCTGACCCCAGCCCAGCCGGCCTTCCCGGAGAAGCCGCTGCTGAGCCAGGAATTCAGCCGGGCCGGCCGGGCGGCCTCTGCCAGCGGCTGTCGCAGCCTCTCCCAGGCTCCCGCCGGCTGGGAGGAGAGCACTGGCACTCTGCCAGTTCTGGGGCGCAGCAGCCACGTTCCGCCTCAGGGGCCACAGGTGAGGCCACGGCGAGGTGCACCAGAGGAGGGGCGGCTGGGTGGGCGGGGGGCAGCCAGGGGTCCCACAAGCCCGTGGGCGATTCCGAGGGGGAACTGTCGCCCCAGGGACCTGTGCACTTTGTCCCTGGGCTGGGCTCACGCCCCGGACGCACAGACATCGCTCTGGGTGTGGAGGGTGCACTGGTCCATCCCTGTGCGGTGCCTCTGGAGCAGGAAGTAGCCCTGGCCGCGGGGCCGGGGGCCTCTGGCTGCGCCGGGAGTGGCCCTGGGAGCAGCAGGGGCGGTGAGTCACTGGGCTGCCTCCCGGCCTCAGCAGAACCGGCTCACCGCCTCGCAGCCCCGGTGAGACGGCGCGGCGGACCCCGTGCCCGGCGCCCCCGCAGGGACACAGCCTGCCGCCCGCGGATGGTGGACGTTGCTGCGGCCATGATGGACCGGAGCCTGCGGAACGTGCTGGTGGTGTCCCTGGGCTTCCTGCTGCTCTTCACAGCCTACAGCGGCCTCCAGAACCTGCAGGTGTGCACCCCGCCCTGCGACCCCGCCCTCCCACCCTCGCCCTCCAATCCTCGCTCTCCACCAGGAGCCCACGGCCAAGACCGGAGCCCACTCTGCTCCCTGCGAGCGCACACTCTCCCCCCGACCCTGAGCAGCCGCGGGGGTGGGGGGTCTCCCACAGCACAGCCGGACTGCACCCTCAGGGGGGACGCAGGGGGGGGGCAGACCGGCGGGCGCTGACCCTTGGACCCAGGGCAGGGAGGGGAGGGGACAGATAAGACAGCTTTGCCTCTGGGTGGCTGGAAGGTGCTGGAATTTGCCAGCTTCCACGGGGCCAGGGGGTCTGGGCTGCTCTCAGCAGCGCCGTGGCCGTGGACGGAGCAGGGTCCTCTCCCGGTCCCTCCGAGGGCGGGGCCTGTGCCAGGAGGAAGCTGCTGCTGGGTCCCAGGCGGCTACCGTCCCGTCTGATCTTTAATGTGAAGTGAACTCTGGGAGCTCCCCCCACCCCCAGGCAGGGCACCTCCTCACCCCCCAGGCTCACATGGCCTCCACACCTTCTAGAAAATTCTCTGACCCCACCTGAGGGCCCTACCGGGCCATCACTGATGCTGCTGACCCTGTCAGCTCTGTCACCCTCCCACACCCACAGCCGGTCCCCTCGGCCCGGCTCCCCATGCCCCCTCCCCTCCCCACCCTCCCCATCCCATCCGCCCTCTGTCCTTTGAGGCTGTCCAGAGCCCCTATGCTTGGAGGTGGGTGTCGCCAGGCAGGAGGCCTCTCAGGCCCCCTCCCTCCTGGGGTGTCCCCCACCAGCCCCACCTCCCGCCGGAGAAGGCCCGGGCGCGGCCCCGGGGGGCGGGGGCGCAGAGAGGGGAGCCCCCGGCCCGGCCGCGCTGAAGGCCCTGCCCCCACAGAGCAGCCTGTACAGCCACGAGGGCCTGGGCGTCACGGTGCTGAGCACGCTGTACGGCGCCATGATGCTGTCCTCCATGCTGCTGCCGCCGCTGCTCATCCGCGCGCTGGGCTGCAAGTGGACCATCGTGCTGGCCATGGGCTGCTACGTGGCCTTCTCGCTGGGCAACTTCTACGCCAGCTGGTACCTGGGGCCCTGTTCCTGTCCTCCTATCCTCGCCCCCCCGTCCCAACCCTCCTCCCCTGTGGCCTTCTCCCTGGGCAACTTCTTCGCCAGCTGGAACCCGACCCCCCCGACCACCCCTCCGTCACCCCCTCTCCCACCTCCCATCCCCCCATCCCCCTGGGTGGCAGTGCCCGCTCCCGAGGCCCGTGTCCGGCTCGTCCCCTCCCCGTCTTCCTGCCTCCGGTCCCATCTGCCCTTCCTGCGGCCGGGTGGGCCCCCCTCGGGGTGGGACTTTCGGGGCCCCAGTGACGCCCGGGAACCCAGGATGTCCAGGGCGGGCTTCGGGGACAGTGGGAAGGGGACCCTCACCCTCAGCACAGTGGGTGGGGCCCCACCTGAGGCACCTGCTCCCTGAAGGAAAGCGGCCCCCAGGGCTCCATGCTCCGCCCGCCCCCCTCGTCCCTCACCCCACCGTCCCCAGGTGCACTCCCCGGCCCTCCTGTGAGGGGCCGCTCCATCCGGGCCACCTGCCCCGTCAGGAGGCTCAGGGCCGCCTCCGTCTGTCACCACGGTTTCCACGCAGCACCCGCCCTGGAGGGACGCCGAGCAGCCGGTGCGCGGCCCCCGCTGCCGCCCGGGCACCTCCTGTCCTTCTGTTTGTTTATGTTTTTCTGACGTCAGAGAGGAAGGGAGAGGGAGAGGGAGAGAGACATCGATGGTGGGAGAACCGTGGACCGGCCGCCTCCCGCACGCCCCCACCGGGGATGGAGCCTGAAACCGGGCCTGTGCTCTGACCAGGAATGGAACCGTGGCCTCCTGGGTCCTAGGTCGACGCTCACCCTGAGCCACGGGCTGGACGCGGCCCTCTCGTTTGTAGTCCCGGCTCCGGGGTCGCCTTCCTCCTCGAGGGAGACCCCGCCTCTGCCTCTGCCTCTGCTTCTGCCTCTGCCTCTGCCTCTGCCGCTGCCGCTGCCTCTGCCTCTGCTCTGCCGCTCCCCCCTCGCACGCCCAGAGCCGGGGCTCCAGGCCGGGTCGGGGGTTAGGAGATGGGCCCACAGCACAGCCCTGCCCGGGCCGGCCGGTCCCCGCGGAGGGCGGCGTGGCCGGCTCCTCACGTCTGTGCCCCTTCAGGTACACGCTGATCCCCACCTCCATCCTGCTGGGCCTGGGCGCGGCCCCGCTGTGGTCGGCGGGGAGCACCTACCTCACCGTGGCCGGGAACGCACACGCGGAGAGCACGGGCCAGGCGGGCCGCAACGTGGTAAACCAGTACTTTGGCATATTCTACCTCATGTTCCAGTTCTCCGGCGTGTGGGGCAACCTCATCTCCTCCCTCGTGTTTGGCCAGGAGGCCACGAAAGGTGAGGGGCGGGCGCGGTGACCCCGGGGCCCGGCCCGAGCAGTGACCGGGGAGGCTCGCGGGCGGCTCTCAGCCTGCCCTGCCTGGGCACCACCCGCTCCCCGGGCGAGCAGGGTGCCTGAGGGTCCCCCTGGGTCCGGACCTCGCCCTGGCCGGGAGGGGAGCTGAGGCCCCGCCTGTAGGCCTGGGTCTGCACGGACCACACGGTCCCCACGGAGGGTCCGAGGGCGGGTCCCGGGGACTCGTTTTCCCACGAGCTGGCCCGTGACCGGCGCTCAGATGGCCTCTGGGAACCCCTCAGCCTCCTCGGGGCTGGGCGTGTGCTGACTTTTCCTTCTTTTTCTGTTGTTTTTTGTTTGTTTGTTTGTTTGTTTCATTTTTTTAATATGTTTGTATTGGCTTCAGAGAGGAAGGGAGAGAGAGGGAGAGAGAGAGAAACACCAATGACGAGAGAGAACCATGGACCTCCTGCCTCCTGCATGTCCACACTGGGGATGGAGCCCACAACCCGGGCCTGTGCCCTGACCGGGGATTGAACCTTGACCTCCTGGTTGAGAGGTCGATGCTCAATCCCTGAGCCACGCGAGCTGGGCTGACTGGCGTAAGGCACCTGCCAGACATGGGTGTGGAGTGTGCACCTGTCTGTGTCTGCTTGGGTGTCCGAGGATGTCAACCGAGGCCGGGGACATCCATCTGATTCCCACAGGAGACCTTTATCAGTGGGGGAGCCCTGACCCCTGACCCCTGGGGCCCCTTCCTACCCCTCCCCTAGCCCTGTGTCTGCCCCCTGTCCCTGTAGGAAGTCCGGCCCTTGGGAAACTACACAAAACCCTCCTTCCCTTCCCGCACATTCCACTGGTTAACGGATAAGGAACCTAACTCTCAGGAAAGACAGGACGTGGCCTGCCCCGGCCAGGGGACTGTGCAGACGGACCCGAACGAGAGCCCAGCCACCCTGACACCCGTTCGCACACGGCCTCTTCCCTCTAATTCACGTGAAAAAGCTGAAATTGTTCGTTCGTGTCATAAGTCACTTAACAAGAAACCAGCACGGACTGCACCTGCGTCCGCATTGGCTTTCCTCGGGCACAGACGTGGGCTCCGGGGACATGTGCTCGGAGACCCTGGCCGCACTGGCCGAGCCGCGACCCTGAGCTGTCGTACACTGGTGTGGTGTGGGCTGGGTCCGCCCTGTCCCCGGGAACGGCAGCCCGTATCCCGTCAGCGTCCCGCTCTCACCCGCCGCCCCTCCCCAGGTGCCATCCCCGAGGAGCAACTGCAGTCCTGCGGGGCCAAGGACTGCCTGATGGCCGCGGCGCCCGGCAACAGCACCCAGCGCCCGTCCCCGGGGCTCATCTACACGCTGCTGGGCATCTACACCGGTGCGTGCGGCACGGGGGTGGCTCGGGCGTCCGCACAGCTCTCCTGAGTCTCTCCCCTAGGAAGGCCACGTTGCCATAAAGACAGAAACCAGGACAGGAGGAGAGGGCTGACGGGCAGAGAACACGTCTCCCCAGCGATGTCCCAGGGCCGCTGGCTTCATCCTCATGGCGAGGCTCTCCAGAGCGCCGTCCAGTCCGTGTGCCAGGCCCGCCGTCCCGGGTCACGCCCCTAGAGAAGCTTCTGGGTCACAGGGCAGCTCTGGACACACAGGCACCTCCTCGGAAACACACGACCCGCCTCTCACAGGCTCCTGAGGAGGGCTTATGTGGGGGTAGTGTCCTAGCCGGAGGCTCAAAGCCCACAAGGGGAGACCGTGGAGCAGGCACCCTGGCCGCCTCGTGGGCGATGGACACGCCTTTCCCACGGACGCCACGGCCAGGCAGGGGTTGGTGTGGGAGAGTTCACAGTTCACATGCCAGAGGGCCCTGCACCAGGCGTGGTGACCACAGGTGCAGGAACCCAGGTGACACGGATACCTGAGTCTGTCCGTTGTGGCCTGAGGCCCCCTGCACCTGGGGTTAGAGGTTGACTGACGCCTCCAGGAGGGAGGATGGGACAGTGGATCTGTGTCCTGTGGCCCCCCCAGTCCCGCGGCCCTGGACCCGTGGCTCCTGGTCCCGTGGCCCTGGTCCCGTGGCCCTGGTCCCGTGGATCCTGTGTCCCGTGGCCCTGGTCCCCGTGGCTCCAGGACTTGTGGCTCCTGGTCCCGTGACCTGGACCTGTGGTTCCTGGTCCTGTGGTTGTGGACCAGTGGCTCCTGGGCTCGTGGATCGTGGACTCGTGGCTCCTGGTCCCGTGGCCCGGACCCGTGGTTCCTGGTCCTGTGGCTCATGGACCCGTGGCTCCTGGGCTCGTGATCGTGGACTCGTGGCTACTGGACCTGTTGCTCCTGGACCCGTGGCTACTGGTCCGGTGGCTCCTGGACCAGTGGCTCCCATGTCCCATGGTTCCTGTGTCCCGTGGCTCCTGGACCCGTGGTTCTCGTGTGCCGTGGTTCCTGGTCCCTGACCAGCAGCAGCGGCTGTGCTTCCCTTCCAGGGAGCGGTGTCCTGGCCGTCCTGCTGGTGGCGCTCTTTCTCGACCCCATCAGAGACACTCTGCACAACGGTGACGGAGAGAAGCCATCTGTTCGGTCCACTGTGCTGTCCACGTTCCAGCTTCTCAGAGACAGACGCCTGCGGCTCCTCCTGCTGCTGCCCATGTACAGCGGGTTCGAGCAGGCCTTCATGGCGGGGGACTACACCCGGGTACGGCCCGGCGGGGGGGCACGAGGGTGGGGCCTGGTGGGCGGGGCCCGAGGGTGGGGCCTGGAGGCCTGGCGGGTGACTACCAGAGGGAGTGGGCAGACATGTATGTAACCTGCTAAGTGACCCGCCCTGGAGGTAGCACTGTTTTCAGGGCAGTTTGGGGCAGGCACAGAGTTTCCCGCATGCTCTCCCCCACCACAGCCCACCAGAGGGTCCCCTTGCTGCCCCTGTGACTCTGCACTCACATGTCATGGCCGCCCACGTCCTGAGCTGACACACGGTCCCTCTTGGTGCTGGGCGGCCAGTGCGTGTGGACGAATGTGCCAGGACATGTCCCCATGATTGTGTTACACTGACCGTTCGCTGCCCCAACCCCCCTGTGCTCGGTCCCCCCTCCCCCACCTCTGTCCCCCCGTCTCCCCTGGACAGCTCCCACACACCGGGCACACGCTGAGCAAGGCAACGGCGTCCGGACATGTGTCCACACGTTAGGACAGACTTCTCACAGGCCCAGACGGGGCCAGCCTGGACAGAAGACAGAGGCCCCAGCCAGGTGGAGGGACAGGCCCCAGCCAGGCCGGAGGGACAGGCCCGGGCAGGCGGAGGGACAGGCCCTGGGCAGGTGGAGGGACAGGCCCTGGGCAGGCGGAGGGACAGGCCCCGGGCAGGTGGAGGGGCAGGCCCCTTGGCAGGCGGAGAGACAGGCCGGGCAGGCGGAGGGACAGGCCGGGCAGGCATAGGGACAGGCCCCGGGCAGGTGGAGGGACAGGCCGGGAAGACGGAGTGACAGGCCAGGCAGGTGGAGGGACAGGCAGGGCAGGTGGAGGGACAGGCCGGGCAGGTGGAGGGACAGGCAGGGCAGGCGGAGGGACAGTCCAGGCAGGCGGAGGGACAGGCCGGGCAGGTGGAGGGACAGGCCGGGCAGGCGGAGGGACAGGCCAGGCAGGCGGAGGGACAGGCCCCGGGCAGGTGGAGGGACAGGCCGGGCAGGTGGAGGGACAGGCCGGGCAGGCGGAGGGACAGGCCGGGCAGGCGGAGGGACAGGCCCCGGGCAGGCGGAGGGACAGGCCGGGCAGGCGGAGGGTCAGGCCGGGCAGGCATAGGGACAGGCCCCGGGCAGGCGGAGGGACAGTCCAGGCAGGCGGAGGGTCAGGCCGGGCAGGCGGAGGGACAGGCCCCGGGCAGGCGGAGGGACATGCCGGGCAGGCATAGGGACAGGCCCCGGGCAGGTGGAGGGGCAGGCCCCTTGGCAGGCGGAGAGACAGGCCGGGCAGGCGGAGGGACAGGCCGGGCAGGCATAGGGACAGGCCCCGGGCAGGTGGAGGGACAGGCCGGGAAGGCGGAGGGACAGGCCAGGCAGGTGGAGGGACAGGCCGGGCAGGTGGAGGGACAGGCCGGGCAGGTGGAGGGACAGGCAGGGCAGGCGGAGGGACAGTCCAGGCAGGCGGAGGGACAGGCCGGGCAGGTGGAGGGACAGGCCGGGCAGGCGGAGGGACAGGCCAGGCAGGCGGAGGGACAGGCCCCGGGCAGGTGGAGGGACAGGCCGGGCAGGTGGAGGGACAGGCCGGGCAGGCGGAGGGACAGGCCGGGCAGGCGGAGGGACAGGCCCCGGGCAGGCGGAGGGACAGGCCGGGCAGGCGGAGGGTCAGGCCGGGCAGGCATAGGGACAGGCCCCGGGCAGGCGGAGGGACAGTCCAGGCAGGCGGAGGGTCAGGCCGGGCAGGCGGAGGGACAGGCCCCGGGCAGGTGGAGGGACAGGCCGGGCAGGTGGAGGGACAGGCCGGGCAGGCGGAGGGACAGGCCCCGGGCAGGCATAGGGACAGGCCCCGGGCAGGTGGAGGGACAGGCCGGGCAGGTGGAGGGACAGGCCGGGCAGGCGGAGGGACAGTCCGGGCAGGCGGAGGGTCAGGCCGGGCAGGCGGAGGGACAGGCCCCGGGCAGGCTGAGGGACAGGCCCCGGGCAGGTGGAGGGACAGGCCGGGCAGGCATAGGGACAGGCCCCGGGCAGGTGGAGGGACAGGCCGGGCAGGTGGAGGGACAGGCCGGGCAGGTGGAGGGACAGGCCGGGCAGGCGGAGGGACAGTCCGGGCAGGCGGAGGGTCAGGCCGGGCAGGCGGAGGGACAGGCCCCGGGCAGGCTGAGGGACAGGCCCCGGGCAGGTGGAGGGACAGGCCGGGCAGGCATAGGGACAGGCCCCGGGCAGGTGGAGGGACAGGCCGGGCAGGTGGAGGGACAGGCCGGGCAGGTGGAGGGACAGGCCGGGCAGGCGGAGGGACAGGCCGGGCAGGCGGAGGGTCAGGCCGGGCAGGCGGAGGGACAGGCGGCAGCAGGTCGGCCGCAGAGGCGTGACGTCCGTGTCCCGCAGTCCTATGTTACCTGCGCCCTCGGCATCCGCTTCGTGGGCTACGTGATGATCTGCTTCTCGGCCTCCACCGGGCTGTGCTCCATGCTCTACGGGCGGGTGGCCCAGTACACAGGCCGGCCCCCGCTCTACGCACTCGGTAGGTGGCGTCCCTGGAACCTGACTGGGCTGCACAGGGGTGTGCGCCGGGCCCGGGGACAGTGTGCTGGGGGAGCGGCCGTGACGGGTGCCATGACCATCCTCCGGCTGTGGGTGAGGCGGGCCGTGACCTGTGATCACCTGGGCCGTGGAGACTGTGTTTAAAGCTGCCTGGCTGCATGCCAAGCACACGCCACCTTCTCCTGTGGGAAGGGAGGAGGGACCGAGCTCGGGGAAGGCGAAATCGGGCCTTCACCCAGTTCCGGGGCAGCCGAGGGGCCTGGGGCTCCCTGTCAGCAGGGGGGCAGCGCCGAGTAACCGGGTGTCCCTCTCTTTTCCCTCCCCGATCGCCCTGGGGGGCCGAGGAGCAAACAGGAGCAGAGAGGGCAGTGACGCCCCAGGCTCACAGCCTCAGGCCCAGCGTGGTCAGCAGCTGCCAGTCTGTGAGCTGCTTGGTGGCTGCACTCTGAGGCCACGGCGTCTGCAGAAACCCACCCACAGGGGCCACGTGGGGAGGACTGGCCCAGGCGGTTTGCTGGCCTCAGGCCGTCCCCCTCCCCTGCCGGACAAGAGGCCAGGCCAGATGGGCAGAGCTGCCATCAGACCCTGTCAACATCAAACCCACCTGCAGGAGGCGGCCTGGAGCATTTTTTTTTTTTTTTAATATATTGATGTCAGAGAGGAAGGTAGAGGGAGGGAGAAACATCAATGAGGAGAGAGAATCACGGCCCCGCTGCCTCCTGCAGGCCCCGCACTGGGGCATCGAGCCTGCAACCCCGGCCTGTGCCCTGACGGGGAATCGAACCGTGACCTGGGTCATAGGTCGATGCTCGGCCCTGAGGCTCCGTGGCAGGCCAGTCTGGAGCCTGAAGGACTCACGAGTCACAGCAGGAAGCGATGGCCGGAGAACTCTCCCTGTGAGCTCGGACCCTCGCCTGTGGGCGTGGCCTCACCCGGTGCCCCTCCCGCAGGCGCGGTCACCCACCTGTCCTGCATCGTGGCCCTGCTGCTGTGGGCGCCGCGTCCCAACCAGTTGCCCGTGTTCTTCGTGTTCTCCGGCCTCTGGGGCGTGGCCGACGCCGTGTGGCAGACACAGAACAACGGTGAGTGCATCCGAAGTCGCCGCTCAGGCCCGCCCCGCGGCGTGGGGGACGGGAGGGGCGGCCCGGCGCCGTGACTGCGTATCCGTGGCTGGGTGCCTGTGGGTGGCTGCTGACCCGGCTTCCTGAGGGAGATGAGCCGCGGAGGAGGGGTTTCGGGAGCCACGGGAGAGAAGGAGGCAGCGTGGGGGGGGGGGGGGGCAGTGCACTGAAGGCGGGGACTGAGAATGAGGGCGAGGTGGGCTGTAGCCCTGAGCTCCCACAGGCCGGGCTTGGCCCCGAGGTGGGGTCAGGGCCCCCCTATCGGAGGCCCACCCCCTGCCCCGGCGTCTGCGGCCCGGCCCGTCGCCAGGTCCTCGGAGCTGGATTCTTGCCTCATCGCCCTCACGTTCAGCCCCGATGGGAAACACCTGGGACAGCAACAGGGTGGGATAGGGGTGGCCCCCCACAAGCCCCAAAACCCCATTCCCAGTGCGGGCCTGCACAGGGGCCCTCCCGGCAGCTGTGTAAACATCGGCACCCAGACCTAACAGCGGCTTCCGGTGTGGCGCTCACCCGTTTGTGCTGCTTGGAGCCGTGTGTCCGCGGCCTTGGAGCCGGGTCACGCGTGGATGACTCAGGCTGACCCGGGAGGGTCTGGGCCCCGGCCCACAGGTGGGGGAAGGGCTGAGCCTCGCCGGCCAGGCGTTCAGCATTGCTCGGCGGCAGAGGGAGCTCACCGGCTGCAAACCAGGCCGGCCCCGCCACGCCACCTGGCCTCCTGAGATGCTAGTGACGTCTGGGTCCACCTGATTTCACTTTATTTTAAATGGCTTTTACGTTGATGTCAGAGAGGAAGGGAGAGGGAGAGAAACATCCATGAGGAGAGAGAACCGGTGATCAGCTGCCTCCTGCACGCCCCCCGCTGGGGGTCAAGCCTGAAAGCTGAGCCTGTCCCCGACCAGGAATCCAACTGGGACCTCCTGGTTCACAGGCCGACACCAACCCCTGAGCCCGCGGCCAGGCCGGCGCTCTGCTGGGTGACACAGGGGTCCCGGCGGGCGGAGCGCGGGCACCGAGACACCCCCTCGCCCCCGCAGTGCTCTTCGGCGTCCTGTTCGACGCGCACAAGGAGGCCGCCTTCGCCACCTACCGGATGTGGGAGGCGCTGGGCTGGGTGGTCGCCTTCGGCTACAGCAAGTTCCTGTGCGTCCACGTGAAGCTCTACATCCTGCTGGCCGTGCTGAGCGCCGCCACACTTGGCTACACCGCCGTGGAGGTCCTGGAGGCCCGGGCCCGGCCCGGCCCCACGGCCACGGCCACGGCGACCACGGCAGAGGACGGAGAGACGCAGACTACGATGTGACGGCGCAGGGCTCCACATGAGGGCGATGCAGGACTCGCAAAGGAGCCTCGAGGCTGCTGTCCACGCCTCACCCCCGTCTCAGCAGGAGGGCACGTGGCAGGCACAGATGGTTACTTTTGTGCCGAGTCTTCCTGCTCTGCCACGTGTTCCGCCTGCACCCCTCGCCGATGAGGGCGAAGGACACCGAGAAGATTCTGCTCCGTCAGACACAGGTCAGCGCGCGCCCGCTCCGCACCCGGGACTCCGCGGCCTGGACGTGCTGGCGGCGTCTTTGAGGCCCAGAAGCCCCTGGGAACCAGGCAGCCGCCCGCCCGTGAGGCCGGCCAGACCGCGGTCCACGCTGCCCAACACGGACGGAGCGTGTTGCTAAATAAACAGCTGTCCTGTGAGCGCCCTCCTGTCCAGGACTTTTATTCCAAATGTTCGCGTGGGGATTGGAGGGCCGGGGAGGGGAGAGGGGGATGAGGGATGACGGGGGAGACTCGAGTTGGGGCGGGAACACAGTACTACGTGCAGATGATGGGTTTAAGTAGTTTAAAAATATTGATTTCAGAGAAGAAGGGAAAGAGAGAGAAACATCAGTGATGAGAGAGAATCATGGATCGGCTGCTTCCTGCACGCCCCCTACTGGGGATAAAGCCTGAAACCCAGGCCTGTGCCCTGACCAGGAATCGAACCCAGGACCCTTCAGTCCGCAGACTGACGCTCTATCCACTGAGCCACACCGGCCAGGGCCAGATGATGTGTTTGCAACTGCACCCGAGGCCCGTATGACTTCCTTACCGTGTCACCCCAATAAATTCAATAAAAGAGAGAAAACTAAACACCCATAGTCCTCACCTGGGTCACTCACCCCTCACCTCACCCCCCCACACACACGCCCCTCACCCCACCTCACCACCACACACACACACACACACACACACCACACCACCACCACACACACACACCCCTCACCTCACCACACACACACACCCCTCACCTCACCACCACACACACACACACACACACACACACCACACCTCACCACCACACACACACACACACCCCTCACCTCACCACACACACACATCCCTCACCTCACCACACACACACACACACACACCACACACACACACACACACACACACACCACACCTCACCATACACACACACACACACACACCCCTCACCTCACCACACACACACACACACACACACACACACACACCCCATAGGTAAGGTGACCAGATCGTCCTGCTTTTGGCGGGACAGTCCTGATTTCTAACAATTTTTCCCGCATTCTGGGGTGTTTTTTTTAAAAAAAAAAAAAAAGGCCCAATTTTTGGAAAGAATCTTTCCAATCTTTCAAAAATTGGGAGCTTTTAAAGACGCTGCGAGCCGTGGGAAAAACTGAGAAATCAGGCGGTCCTGCCCAAAGCGGGACGGCCTGGTCGCCTGACCCTGTGGGCAGCGGCCGCTCCTGTGCCGAGGGCAGCCGGCTCCTGGGCGCGGGTTCACTGGGTAAAGGCTGTGCCGGAGGTGAACGCGTGGCCAGGCGGCCGAGCACAGTGTCTGGCTCCGTACCGACGTGCCAGGCGGCGCCTTCTCAGATGAGGGCGAAGGGCCCGACCCCGCGCTTCAGTCAGCACGCCGGCCTCCATGTTAGCCCGCGGTCGGCAGTCATTCGTCCACAGAGCCAGAGAGCCATAGGACAGTGACTGGAATTTCCTTTGAGACCAAGTTTTTAAACGTAAACTCTATAGGTGGGTGCATATATAGTTTATATATTAACTTAAAGAGGGTCCTCCTCAGCTGGCCTTTGCTAAATGCTCAAGGGGCCAAAGAGCCGCCTGTGGCTCGGAGCCGCAGTTTGCTGACCATGGTGTCAGCGGAGGCCCAAGGTTCACCCTTGATCTTCCCATCCCGTCTGTGAATGGGACTGTTCCCCCGTCCGGGGCGTCAGGACTAGGGCAGACCGCGGGCGTCCATGCGTCTCTGATCCTCACGCTCAGCCTCACCGGCCGCCGCCCCCGGCCAGGCGCCCGGGCTCAGCTCGCAAGGCGCCTGGACGGCGCTCAGAGCCTTCGGAGGCGAGGCGAGGCGCACAGCGCAGAACGCCCGGGCGAGGTCACACACGGTGTCTACAGCTTCCTGAAGAGGACAGGCTCGTCGAAAAGGAGAAACAGGTGAAGCGTACGGCTGTGCCGGGTCGCGGCCGAGGCTGCATCCCCTCCGGTCGACCCCTCGAGTGAGCCCCGAGGCCGCAGCGGCCCCGGCAATGGCGACGAGGCCACGGTTCCGTCCGCCCGCGGGCTCGGGGCCGTAGGAGGCCGGCCCGGCACGGAGGCGCCGTTCTGAGGCGGAGCAGACAAGGACGCGGTCAGAGACGACGGAGGTGCGGCCAGGTCCTCAGAGCCTGGCCTCCGCGTCAGGGAACACGGAGTGGGGTCCCTCCGTCTCCCCAGGTGCAACCAACAAGCCCATTGCAAGTCCCTGCGGGTGCAAAGGAGGGCGGCTGGTGAGTTCCCTGGGGTAGTGGGTGGGTGGTGGGTGGTGGGTGGGTGGTGGGTGGTGGGTGGTTGGGTGGTTGTTGGTGGTGGGTGAGTGGGTGGTTGTTGGGTGGTTGGTGATTGATTGGTGGGTGGTTGATTGGTGGGTGGTTAATGGGTGGTGGTTGGTGGTGGGTGGTTGGTGATTGATTGGTGGGTGGTTGATTGCTGGGTGGTTAATGGGTAGTGATTGTTGGTGGGTGGTGGGTGGTTGTTGTTGGTTGGTGAGTGGGAGGTTGTTGGGTGGTTGGTGATTGATTGGTGGGTGGTTGATTGGTGGGTGGTTGATTGGTGGGTGGTTAATGGGTGGTGGTTGTTGGTGGGTGGTGGGTGGGTAGTAGGTGTTTGTTGGTTGTTGGTTGGGTGGGTGAGATGGGTGGTTGTTGGTTGTTGGTTGGTTGGTGGGTGGATGGTAGGTGGTTGGTTGGTTTTGCCTCGTGTATATCAAACTAGGCCACAGCCCAGAAACATGAGTGGACAGAGACAAAGGGGCCTGAACCTGCTCTCCAACTTCCGAGTCCAAACGATCTTCGGTAAGAAGTTACTATGAAATACACAAAGAGCACAAAGGCTATGACAGGAGCCTCAGGGAGCAGGGTGTGTCTCCTTCCTGCCGTGTCTGTCTGTGGAGACAGGTGTGTCCATCTGCAGAAGCCGCCAGGGGCCACGAGAGCTCAGAGCGCCCGGAGAGCTGGGCACGGATGGAGGAAACCGTGAGGACCGAGCCCACGGAGCGGCTGAGGACAGGGCGCCGTGCGCGAGGCCACGGGGGCCACGGAGCGGCCTCGGCCTCCTGGCGTCCTGCCCCTGGTGGCCTCACGCTCTCTCACCAGGACACAGACACGGCGCCTCCCTCCGCACCGTCAGAGCCGGGGGGGTCCGGACGTGCGTGCGTGGCCGTCCGGGGCCGTGGCTGTGTCTGTTTTAGCAGACGGCGCTGCCCGTGCCGCCGTGCCGCGGACCCTCACCCTCCCAGAGGCCAGCCGGACCTCCTGGCGGCCGTCGCGGTACACGGTCCGGGCGCTGCCGTCGGGGTGCTCCCGCCGCTTGAACTCGGCCGTGTGGACGTCCCGCTGCCCGTCGCTGAACACGATGGTCTTGTCGCCGTTCCTGGGGGCGGAGGGCGCGGCGTCAGCTCCCCTCGCGGGAGCAGAGCGCGAGTGTGGGAGGAGGGGGCCTGGTCCCCCCAGGTCTCGTTTGGGGGGGCACGTGCAAGGCTGGCGAAGGCCCACGGGGCCAGGAGGCCAGCCGGGGACCGGCCAGCGGCGGGCTGGGCCCGCTGGGCCTGGCCATGAGAACCCGCATCCTGAGCGAGAGGGTCATCGGAAGGAGGAGGGGCCTGGGGGTTTCCTGAGCTTCGTCCAGGACAAAGGACAGAGGACGGGAAGATGGTCCGGTGCTGAGGGCAGATGGTGGCCTGCAGGCACCAGAGAGAAAGGATGGGGCTGGTGGTGGCCTGCCTGGGGAGTGAGGAAGGGAGAGGATCAGGGTGCATGTCCCACACCCTCGGAGCCGGTGGCTGTTGGGGTGAAGGAGCAGCGAGAGTCAGCCTCCCACATGAGGGGCGCCTGGGGGGCAGGGTCCTGGCGCTGCACGCTCTGCCTCAGGAGAGGCCCCCACAGCTTCTCCGTGCGTCTCAGACGGTGTTGGCGGGGGTCCCGCTCTGGACTCGGCCTCCGGATGGCATGGCCTCAGGTGGGCACACGCCTGAGGCTGGAATTGGTTTTGTGGTCGCGGCTCCAGCAGGACCAGCGCCGGAGAAGAGACACTTAAACATCAGCGTGAAGCCCATGTTCTCCGGGAAGGACTCACGGCCCATGACACCGTGTCCTGTTATTACATTCGGACACACACCTACGCCTTCCCCAAAATGACTCTACAGAGCCCAGCAGGGGGCTCGGTGCCTGGGCCTGGACCTACGAACCATATTAAAAACACTTTTTAAGAGTTAATCTAAATAAACCCTTTTTAAAAGTATATTGTTATTATTTATTTCAGAGAGGCAGGGAGAGGGAGAGAGAGAATCACGGATCGGCTGCCTCCTGCACACCCCACACTGGGGATCGAGCCCACAACCCGGACCTGTGCCCTGACGGGAATGGAGCTGCGACCTCCTGGTTCTAGGTCGATGCTCAGCCCCTGAAGAAATCTGACTGCACAAACCACGAACTCGGGCACGTCAGTCGGGTACCACCGCCCGGCACCCACCTGGCCACGCAGAGCACCGTCCCGTCCGGGAACACGGTCTCCTCCTGGTCGTCACGGAAACGCGTCACCGTCCCGTCCGGTAACAGGGTCTCCTTCAGGCCGTTGGGGTAGAATTTCTCAGCAGGACACACGCTTCGTTACTGAGGCACAACTGTCACCTAACATCCAGCTCGCTACCTGCACGCCACAGTTATGGTGACAAAAATGTCTCTTCTGTGATGAGGACTCCTAAGATCTAATCTCTCGGCAGCATTCTTAACT